TATTTCGCGCGAATACTTACGCTAGCGTTCATTAATCGCCCAGTCTGGACATCTCGCTAGTTACGCCATGGATTAACGTACGCCCGGCGTTAGATACGCCTGGCGTATCTCACAGGTCTGAACGTAGCCTTAAGACTGTCCCCGACGATAAATCGGGTCGGGCTGCGTCGGCCGACGCTGGCGTTTGCTGACACTATAATAGCACCAGCAAGTCGTATGTTTACTTTAAATGCGTGAGATTTAATGATCACATTCACATTCATCGTCATCATCAAAAACAAAATGCAAAAATGTGCCACGTCCATACAGGTTGTGAATATTTACATTTATTTTCCGATAATGTACCGTGCAGTATGTAAATTCAGTGAATGATGTTCAGTGAATGATGTTACTTTGGTAGGTACGGTTAACTTTAATCAGGCATACTGTAGCTGATACAACTGTGCCCGAAGGATTTTATTCAATAAATAGGCCTCAGGCTCTTTTAACATAATAAACATAAATACAATACAGTAGGCTCAGATGTGCAGCAAGTATTCTAAGTGTCCGCGTTACTAAAAGAGAATACTCATTCTAGAGAGTAAATTTATTTTCTTACATATTGCGTGACGAGTATATTAACATTGTGGGTGGTAGCCTTTGTATTAGGAACTAAATGGAATTTACCAGCTAATGTAGGCCTAATGACATAATCTTTAAATATTTTACACTAAAATAACTAAACATCTGTTCAAATATACAGTAATTAATGCTCATTATTTCGATTTTTTTATTAGATCATCATCGTTTTATGATGATCGAATAAAAGGTCGACGTATTGAATCACAATGACGGGTCTTACTTTATTTGGAGTATGTTATACTAGGCTCATGATTTTCAAACCAAAGTTTTTGATAATGGTGAAAGAGTACCGCTACGTGTTGAATTTTTTTTAAAAACTGAGATGTGTTAGGCATATTAAATAGGTAGCTGGCTTGGTTACATGATGATACTCCAGGGGTACTGCACAGAACATATTATTATGAAATCTGCACATATAGAAATGTATATATTACTATTAGGCCTATTATAACCATGTTGAAATATTTATCAATGTGATAGGCCGGCTCGTTACTGGCAATCCATGGTACCAGCGCTTAATGCATTGTTTTAACTTTTGTTGATTGTTTTTGTTGTTCCTTTTTCTTTGTCTCTTCTTCATCTTATTTGTTTCTTTTATTCAACCTTGGACATTTGAAAGCGCATATAGACCTAGTATTATGCGCTTTGCAAGTCTGCATCCATTACCATTACGTAAATTAACATCAAATTATAATATTTATCAACATTTGAAGTAAAACGTTACTTTTTGCTGGATGAAATACACTTTTTAGCACCAGGTTTACAGCAAAGGTATAACCACAGACTCATAGGGCCAAATAGAATGCTAAAGCGAGGACTCACCATGGACCATTGCCCCATCACTGATAATATTTCGATAAATAACCCCATGCATAAAGACAAGTTCCAACTCCGCGTGTTATATCGCGTGATCTTCGAACAACAATAAATAGAGCAATCTCTTACTCTGAGGTTATTATACAAGGCCTTTATACTTTGAAAATATATCTGGGAGCATTCTCGTTAACTGTGTTATTATGGAGTTCATTTAATCAAAATTGAGTTTCCGTGCGAGAGAAGATAATTGAAAATTACTCTTTTTCGCAGTTCATCATTTTCGTTGCCATGGTTTAGGTTTAAAAAATCAAATTAGGTGGAACGATGTATCAATAATTCACAACTCCATAATTGGAGATCCGGATGTAAATACAGTACACGGCCTTTGCTATTGTATGCAGTCAAACACGCATTTGTTTGTTATAGGCCTATATTACGTGTTTTAATATCTGCAGTTTTGCTGGTTCTAATATCATCGGTGTATTAGGCCAAATAAAATTTGGGTTTCATGTCCGGGATTTTAAGACATTCGTTGGTGAGGGTGTATATAGGGAGTTTTCGATGTACGACATTAACCTGAACTTTGACGGATGACATCATAATTTATTCATCTTGCGTTGCGGAGTACGTTAAATTCAGGATTTTACGTGCTCGACGTACGTTAGTTACGGGTTTGCGCATGCGTATTTCGATATGTTTACAAAAGGGGCGGAGCTATCGCGGTGCATGTTGGATACTAACGTTAAAGTTAAGGTTAACGTCGTGCATCGAAAACTCCCTAATTACTATCCTATAAACTAGTGGTAAACATGCTGGTAAATAGTAGTTTTGTATAAAAGAAGTCAAATGAATTTTCGTAACTTTTCTGTCATTTATGTTTCCACCTCTTATGCTTTGACAGCAATCGTTCAAGTCATATTCGTTTTTACTTTCCATGGAAACTGATTGGGTTTTTTTTTTTTTAATAGCAAATAATTAATTTTTCTGATGAGGCTCCAAGATTTGATGAGGATGGGGACGTGAAACTATCAATTAATTTTAGTTGGCCTTAAAATTAGAGTCAAATAATCCTGCTTGCACGATGCACTTTCACTGGATACAAAAACACCATAATAAATATGTGGTAGCTTGTAGGATTAAATAATTTAAATTTCTTTTTAATGAAACTCTATGACATCCTATTTGCTCGTCAAAAGAACGGTTAGAATGGATCACTGTACTTTGATTTATATGTTTAATATTTCGGTCATATGTTTTCAGGAGTAGGCTTATCGTGAACAATAAACCGACTTTCTAACCTTGATAATTACCTGTACCGTATCCGACTAAAATAGTAAACAAATACTACATCAGTAAACAAATGTGAGTAATTCTCAAATCATTCATCTAAAAAATACGGTATGTGTACAAAATACTAGTAATCGTATGCGAATATTTTACGAATTGTACGCTTATCTGAATAATAATAGGCTCAGTACCGTACCTCACTCTCACAACATGTAGGCCTAATGGAGTTAAGTATTGATTGTGGAGTACTGATAATTGAAACAAACAGGCATCACGCTCCATGGGATAACTAAACCAGTCTGGGGACAACACTCATTTTTCGACATTATTTTCAAAGATTGCGGATGGAAATCATGTGTAAAATAGCATGAAACGCCTGTCAAATATTTACATTAAACCGACAGTCTGATGCGATGGTCTAATTTAAAACTCTTACAGTGCTGTTAGTATTACCGAATTTTAGGCAAATCGTACGACGGAATTCACAAGAAAATCACTCCTCATTAGTTCTGGACAACATAAATCACAAACATTTAAAACCCTACGAAAAACGATTACAACTTCGATCGTGTGAAATAGTTTATGTGTTGGTAAGGCCTATGCCTACTTGTTTTCTTCCAATTATTATATAATGGCGAACTGCCAGAAGCAACAGAAATGCAACCGACGACCTTCAGATTATAAATTCCATATCATCCAACGACTGTCCTGACGTGAAAAACGAAACAACTGGTTTCCAGACGCGAGGTTTTAATGTATGTACATATAGCTTATCCTGGACTGCAAACTCAAGCTCAATATCACAAAAGAGTTTTCCCTGCGAGTGACACGGTGGTTACTAAAAACCAATATGCATACATGAGTGCTTATACATACATTATCCCGAGATTGGCGCTGATTGCACAGAACTGAAGGGAAATACAAAAACAGAACGTTTTATAACGTGCTCTGATATGCATGACGTCGTCTCTTTAGTCTTTTAGTCTGGTTTCCTATTCAGGTTTTCACAAGGGAGTTTACAATGGAGAACCGAATTTGTATGCGGTATAATATTGAGAACGGTATATTCACGGAAGTAGCAACTGCGTTTATACAATACAGGTTCCACAAAGCTATAGAACGCTGCAAACTGCTTCACTGTAATTGAGTATTTGTTAGATTGATAGCGAGCTGATGCTGGACCAATCAGACTCGCAGATCGGCGGTTTCTGACAGACAGCCGATTCTCATCATTTCGAAGCGTAATGTGCTGTCGTTGTTCCGACTCACAACACCGCTGGTCAGCTTATGATCAAGAGTACGACCATTCTCTCTCTACAATATGAAATTGCTGTTTTTTCTGTCGGATAATACTTAGAATTATGATCAGTTGGCGATGAACCGGATTTTATAAGCCAAGCTATTTTCAGCGTGTATGAGACGTTTAGGTTTTACCAGCATTGTTAAGTATATACAGGTCTTTAATGCATTGGATATAAGAATTCGAAACCTGAAAACGTGTTGATGTACTATAGTACTTTAGGATTAAACGTCTTGTTTTCATTTAACTCGCCGTATATTTTTATGACAACCGGTCAGTTATGACCTGTATTCGCCAGTGAACACGGGAAAATTGGTACTGCTTTATATTTGTTGGCAACTTCTATTGTACACGGCTTTTATGTCTTTACATATAGGCAACGTGAACAGCGCTTTACGCCAATCTGTTTCACTTGTTGACGGTCTTGGAGACCGCGCTTCTGCCTGAGAAAAATTCCCATAGAGCTGAATGCGGTTTACTTCAACTCATTGTAGTTAATTCTTCGTTTAAAGTGTAAGGATATAATCATTACATAGGTGAGTAAAGTGATTGTATTTTTGTATTTGTATTTAGTCACTCGGACATAGGTTTACCGAAGATGTCCCGTCCATACAGCTTGCGTACCGAAAACCATGTTGCTTGTAACTCCATTCTTATAAGTAGGCCTAGCCTAGCGCATACCATTCGATGCTGGTCAGCGGGTCACAAACCGTGCTTGCATTCACTAAAATATATCTGCGTAGGCCTAGCTTTGATATCACGGCACGGCTATACGGAATTGTATGCGAATTTAAAAATTAGAATATATATAGTTTATTTATAAAGTATATAACAATGTTGTGAAAACCAAATGCCAACAAGGTACGACTGTATCAGATATTACTTAGGCTTAAGTGACTAACATTGTAGACTTAATTGAAACATATCCATTTTATATGTGCACAGTTATCGATGTTATTTTTGTCCCTTCACCACTGTCTTTCATTATATTGGTTAATGTAATGAAATAGTGTACAGTATGGTAAAATTCTTTTTGTTGGTTCACTCATATAGGCCTACCATGTTGCTTATAAGCCATATACCGTATATGTATGTATACTGTTTAATATAAAAATATAAACAGGCGATATATATATATATATATATATACTGTATAATATAAACAGGATATATATATAAGCATATATGTATGTATATATAATTATGGCATAATACATAAATAAATCGTAGTACAATAGAGAGTTAAACTACAGTAAAACCATCTTGACCTGGTATACAAACTATATTTATTATGTGCCTATATGAGCACTGTTAAGTTTACTTATTTATATATATATATATATATATATATGTAGGCCTAGGTATATGTGTGTGTATATACATGTGTATATATATATACATATAAATCAAATACAAGATGACACTTGGTTATATATATATATATATATATATATATATATATATATTTGTATGTATGCATGTATGTATGTATTAATATGTAAATGTATTACAACAGGATTATATATAAAACAGAAAACAGTTGTAGAACCGTACTAGTTATGTGCAGTAGGCGGTCTGAAAATAACTCCATGGCCTGATAGTATTCCCATTGAGTTATAATTCACGCTTTGGTATAAGACGGATGGCCTGCAAGTTGATGTGGTAGGCCTACAGACTAAACTATAGGAATCACGGTTCTTGGTCTGGAACATAAATTTGCACAGAATATTGCGATATAAACTAAGTCTCATTGATGTACAGTATAATTGTTCACGTCTATTTACAGCACAATGGATGCCCTACACGAGATTATGCCGCTTTACAGACGATCTCGGATCGTTTCAACGGTGCTAGGGTTTATATTGAGTATATGGGGTGTTTTTAGATATCTGCTGTTTTCTATAAAATAAACAAAATACTCTCTTCTGATAATTTACTGTTGTGATAGTATCCACCGGGCCATTCCACACCAATGTTAAATGTCAAGATTTAATCATCTCTAGGCTAGCCTGTGTGTATTTTTATTGACAGGAAAACGTGATCCAGTCCCCGACTGAGTGCATTATGAACCCGTGTTGTTTTCCTAGCCTCATAGCATGGAGTTTTATTAGTGAGTAACGTTATGCCCTTAGATCACATTCAGCAATCACTTGGCCTAGCCTTGAATTCGTGTTTTCTAATTATTATCGCCTGCTTAGTTGTGTTTTCGATCATTTGCTTTTTTTTTTGGATCGACAGGGAGCTATATATTGTTTGTGCCCGCAACATCTTGCAACACCAGTTCCTAATTTGCATTGGAATATAATATCATAAAGATATCTAGTATATCTGCACGTTTTTACATGTCGATAAATTGAAAATAAATTAAATGAGGACCATATCATCTATCTACCGTTGATAAATTTGTATTTTGTCGCAATGTATATTATATTATTTATAGTCATAAGTGTTTATTATTATTTTTATATAACTCGGGATCGGATTTATTCACCGCATTTCTCTTCAAATTTACAATATGATTAGCCCTGTCTTTAATTTCATTCACCTTTTCAACGACCAAGACTCGGTGTGTGTACTGTGTGTTTTAATATTTCAAATGATTTATTTATCTGTCTCTTCCTTAAAAAATGTTTTGAGAGTATTAGCGGCATATTTGCTTATTTCAATGGGCCAAATTTTATTATAACTCGAATTCTAATATTAGACTTCAAAGTATTTATTATAAAAAGTTGTTTAAATTGCTACTTAGGCATACTTGAATACGTATCGTTTATACATTAAATCGTGTATAGACATAGATGGCCAATTTTAGTCAATTGTGTTAGACCTATCAACCATCCTGAATATTGTTCAGTGGATTGAATACATTAACAAACTCATGCTATAATTAGCCTATACATTGTATTTTGTTCAATATTTCAACATAAGAACACTTTTCAAACCTCTGATTTATACGCCTATTATAAACATCAAATGGACGTGCGCTAAAACATCAGATAGTAGACCATGATGTTCAACCTATTTGAATAAAATACTCTCGTATTGTTTTGGTTGTTTTCCTTTTACATACAATACAAAAAGTCCAGGAAATCTTCTGAAATCCAAAGATTCCTGTAACAATTGCGTATTAGTGTGTATCTAGGCCTAACCATGGAGTTATAATTATTTTGTAACGCCATGGCCTATAATTAATTACCACAATGATCAATGGTTCTTTTGTTTCTTCTTGGGCCGAATATTAAAACAATTTGCGGAGTCTCTCTATACATTTTGTTAACAAAATATATACAGCACGCTATTACAATTTATGTATAATTAACAATCTCAACACAATACGCATTCAAGGCGGAACTTAGCATGTTATTTCATGCTTATTTCATACAGATAGATCGTCATCTATACATTGTTCCATATAAATAACGTCTATGTTGTATACGCCCTAAACAACCCAATGTTTTTCGTTCTCTTCGTAGCGTACTGTAAAACAACCTGATTTCTCGCGTGAACCCATATTATGACAAAAGTCATAGGCCTACAAGTCCTACATTTTTTGCTGTATCTGGAATGTAAATATTATGTAGCATTTTGTGTGGAAGATTCAAATAAACAACGACATTTTACAAACTCATTCTGTAAACGTACATTTTATAATTTAAACAAATGTAGACTATACAATTTCCATTTTATTTAATAATAATAATAATTTGGATTTGTAAAGCGCAAAATACATAGGTCTCTATGCGCTAGAAATTTGCAAATTAAAATAAACTAAAGAGATGAGCCTTGAGACGATTTTTAAATATCTCAAATATAAACAAATATTGAAGGATAATGTTTTGAATATAACGATAAACACCTTTAAGCCTATTGCACACTTTTGTAAAGGTCCTGGAGGCCATCATAATAAAAGAAAAATAAATAAGATTTTGAATTGCCCAAAAGTGCAAGTTATCAACTTGCAATAAATCACATATCAAAAAGTCTGTTTTCAATGATTTATAAACGTTTCACTACAAAATTCTTAGATTTACTTTTAGAAAATTTAAAGTTGGAATCACATTATTTTTATGTCCGTTATTGGCAAAGAAAAATAATTAATCAAAGTAATCAATTCAGTTTTATTTGTCTTATTTTCAAGTTTATTTGTTTTACATTGTAGAATATATCGAATCAGACTAAATAAATTCTATTGGTTTCCATCGATGAGCATAAAGATAATGATTCTTTTTTTATTCGATACGTACAGTATCATGCCATTCACGCATTAAAAATGCATATTGCATCGATTTCCCCTGTTAGTGTGGTTTTATAATCGCTTTTATTTCTTCATAAATGTTCCTCAATAATAATTTTTAAATATGTGGTCTTTATTATACATTTATTCTTGAAAATGTTCTAATAAAGAACGAAATGTAGAATCAATTTTGGCCTCACGCTTTCCTTTCTTCGGAGTCACCATACTCATAATTATTCTATTTGCGAATACAGTAGCGAGAGTGGTTCCTTTGGTTTTATGGTTTAGGCCCATCTAAAATTCATTTGGTCGTCAGGAATTGGTAGGCTTGTTAGCATGCAAAAATGCAGCACTGAGTGATTTTACATGTGTGTATTAAAGTTAATCTCAACGTTCCACCTTACGACCAGTTCGTACTGTAGTAAATTTGATGATAGAACGACCATCTTAGATTCTCGTCTGAAGTTCCTTCGGACCGAATCGCAACCGTCGATTATTTATTTACATAAATCATATCAATATAACATTCATGTGGTTTTTTTTTTTCAAATATTGAATATCGTCATGTGGCGATTTTCAGATTCTGAAACATTCTCTGATTTCTATTGCACCGATTTTCGTTTATACATCGGCCTAATGGTAATATATCAATGTGATTCATAGTGTCTTTTCCATTAAATTTATGATGTATCTTATTGCTCCATGATTGTAGTACGGAGTACTGTAATAACACGATTTTCTCCAAGTGCATATGCTCATGGTATCTGTATTGTTTCAAATGAAGAAAATATATTTCCTATAACTAAAGTGAGTAGATTTGGCTTGAGGTACAGCTCGTGGGTCGGTATACTGTAGCGTTGATTATATTCTCAGATATCAGATGCTTACTTTACTGTATGCTTATTATAGTGACTCGTTTTTACTTGCATAGTTTGTGGCATTGAGAACGTGTTGGTCATTCGTAATCTGTACATTGTCTTGGTTTCTATACGGTCGAACAATGCCTGTTTGACACGCTCGGGTGTTAAGCGTGTATACCTTGGTTCCGTAAGTAAATAAAACGAAACATGGCTTTATTCGAGTCGGCCACGAAACAGGTACACTGCAAGTCACGAAAGTTCTAATACTGTACGTGTGATGTATAATTATTTTGATAATCAATACGAGTAGGGCGATACTATAATATATATGTATATATAGTATATAATATATATACTCACTCACTCGCCACTGAGCAAGGACTAGTGTTGTCCGAAAGCTCTGGTTCTATTTCTGGCTGTTTACTTACGTTTACTTTTTAGC